TTCCCAAGTGCTGAGGTTCTCCCTAGTGGGCCCTGCTTCACCTAGTTAGAATAATCTGTTTAAAATGAAAATCTGATATTACGTCTGATTTTCAACAGTCTCCTAACAACATTGCAGTCAAGTCCAGAATTTTCAGCGTGTCTGGGAAGACTCATGCCGGAAGCTCCGCGAGCTTTTTACTACCCCTTTTCTTTTTCCTACCCCTTACTCATTCCCTTCCAGTCAAAAAGCAATTCATGAAAAAACATGGCTCCGTCCTATCTCAGTGTTCTGAATGCTCAGCAGGTTCCTCTAATGCAAGGCCTGTCTTCTCCGGTGCCAGTCATTGTGTGTGTAATTTGTGCTCATCCCTCAGAGTTCATCTGAATGTGTGTCCTCATGGAAGGCTTCCCTGACCTATATCTCTCTACCGAATTTCTTCCTCCTGCTAATCAGTTCTCAGATATCCTGTACTTTTCCTTACTAGTACCTTGCACACTCTAGTTATTGAACAATTACTTAATTATTTGTCTGACGGTTGCATCATATCTGCAACACCAAGCACAATGCCTGGCATAGTGAAGATGCATAAATGCATGATTAATGGACTGACTACTTCAGGGCTGAAGAAATGAACCTGTCTAAACAACAAGGATTCACGGGCAAATGCAGTCCAACTCTAACCTGGATTCTACACATCTGTCCTTCTCTTTCTCTCCATCCACACATGTTCGGTTTTTTTTACTTCCTGTGTCTTATTTTCTCCATACAAGATATGTGACATATCAAATCATATAAGGACATGTTAAGGACACTGTTCAGCCCATATTTGAAAACTTCAATTTGTGTTACATCTTGGGAGAATTATAAGATTATGTGTACTTCCTTGGGCATCTCAGAATATAACTGGTAAGTTTTTTTTCTCTATTCTCTAGGCTATAACATAAACTTTTAGGCGTTTGTTTTTCCATCTCTAAGAGATACCCAAACACAACCAAACCAACCACAGTTATACATGTCACTTGATCAGAATCTTTATCCAGTTTACTAATTTTTGATACAGCTATGCATTAGTTGTTTTGCATGCTACATTCTTCCATCTCATGCATATATCCTACTTGATTATCATGTGCACTTCTTTTAGCGCATTGTTAAAATTTGGTTTGATATATTTTGATGATTTTTGAATCTGTGTTCATTAAGGACATTGGTCTGCAGTTTCTTATATCTTTGTCCAGTTTTCAAGTGAGTGATACTGCCTAAAACGTTTGGTGGTGTTTTTTTTCAATTCTTTAGGTAAATCATTGATTTCTGTCACTCACACCATTATTGTTTGTGCAAGGGATGCATGTGTGCATGCTGGTACATGTACATATGTGTGTACATGTGTGTAGAAAACACGGAGCAACCTTGAGTGTCATTCTTCAAATGCCATTTTGAGGCAGGGTCTCACATTGGCCTGGTTCCCAACAAGTAGGCTAGGGTGGTTGGTCAGGGAGCTCCAGGGATCTGCCTGTCACCACCTCCCCAGCTCCACCCCATCATGCCTAACTGTTCTCATGAGGGGTCTGGGAAATCCTAATCTTACAAAGCAAGTACTTTTACCAGATTATTTTATCATGCAGTATTTAAGTACTAAAATCCTCAGATGAATGAAGCATTGTTGTTCTTTTATATATAATTAATTTTGCTTAGCTTTAGGATCTTTACCTGACTTTCTCCTCCCCACCCCCCATCTCTGACCTGACTTCTGGGATCGTTTTCTCTCTGCCTAGACTGTATTTAAAATTTCTTTTCTCTTTTCTTTTTGGAATTTTGAGATGGGGCTTTGCTGTGTAACAGCTGGCCCAGAACTCATTATGTGGGGCTGGTTGATCTTCTGCTCATCATCTCCGTGGCTTTCTCCCAACCCCCAGCACACTCCTATCCCATAATTTAATTGTTGAGTGATAATGAATTTAATTATTTTTGCTTTAACTCCTCTTGAAATGACTAAGGTAGCAGCACCCTGTTCCAATGTTATTTTGTGCCTGCCTGATCACTTAGTCTTCCACCCCTAATGGCCGCATTCACCTTGACGTGGAATCTGGGACTTTCCACGGTCTAGACCATTCATTTTCCAAGCATATTATGCTGTGTCTGGAATGTTGACGGTCTTTTTTTAGGGCTTCCAGTTTACAAAGAATGACATGGAGACTTTATGAAAGCTTAGCCTCAGTTTAGGCTTGCCTTGCTTGCTCTAATAACTTAAATGAACCCATTTATAATGACCTACATTCTGCCACGTGGCTCATGGATATTACCTCTCCTCCTGCACATCCTGCTTGCTCTGTGTCTCCTGGTGTCTCAAGCTTCCTTCTTCCCAGAGTTCTCTCTCTGTCCTGAAGTTCCACTTACACCTCTTGCCTAGCTATTGGCCGTTCAGCTTTTTATTACACCAGTCACAGCAATGAACCTTCACACAGTGTACAAATATCCCACAACACTAAGATACCACTGAGCCTTGCAAGGAAAGCAAATGTTACTAGGCAACTCTAAATCCCCACTATGGACCACTCCCAAACACGAATGTAGTTATGGTTTTATCGCTAAAAACTGTACCTGAGCTTGGGCACAGAGAGACTTTCCTGAGGTGTGAGTCTGCTCTTGGTTTGGCCATTAACAAAGAACTCAGCAGCTTAATCAGTGTGGTTGTCAGTAACCATCTTGCGCCAGCCTCATGAAGAATGATGGATCAATGATGGCTTTCTTCCAGCTCACAGAAGACATCCCTCTGCTGTCTTTGGATTCATGGTTCTTGGCAAATATTCAGCAATCACCTAAAGTGCTGAATTTTCCTAGATTATAATTTTTCTGGCTTTTTTAAATAAAAAAATCAATGAAATAGTTTCTTCATAATGTATTTATGTGACATTCATATTTGGATTTTTCTGATATGCCAAGATTTATTGTCTGAAAAGTTCATCGTTGCTGTCTCTGTTGTTCCTTCTAGTCATCCTGTTATCTCATACTTCATACGTGATCACCGGGCATATACTACACATTCTTATGCTTTCCATACTTCTTTGATTTCAAATTCATCCTTGTCTCTTTTGGATGCATGTGGGGTCACTTATTCATGTACTTTCTGGTTTATTAATTTTTCTCTTTGGCTGTAATCTGGCCAAATTTTTCTTAAGTGCTTGGACTTGAACCTGGGGCTTTGCATATGCTGTACCACTGAGCCGTACTCCTAGCTCAAGTCAGGAAACTAAACATCTCTCTCTCTGAGAATGCACGAGTATGCTGCTCAGGCTCATGCTGTAGGCTCATAAGCTCTGTCTCAGCCTCTAGACAGGGACTATGTATAAGCATAGGCCACTGTGCCTACTTTTAGTATTTGAATTTCTTATGATTCCTACTGAGATTTACATCCTTTTCACTGTCTCCAAGAAATGTAGCCATTACATTCACATTTTCTTTTGAAATAACTCTGGCATTTTTCTGAAGCAGCAAGTTTCCTAGCTTTGGTAGAGGCTTTCAGGTGTGATCTAGTTCAGTATTCACTCATCTCTAAGGCTTCCTACTTTCTCGTTGGCTTCTATACAGTTTGTGCTTTGGGGCCAGATCTGTAAACACTTAATACAGTTGACTAGTTGTTTCAATAAGGAGGGTGTCATGGAGTCATCATTGCTGTGATGAAACAAGAAAAACCTGGGAAGGAAAGGTTCACTTGGCTTACAGTTCCACAGCACTGTACATCATTGAAGGAAGTCAGGAGGCAGGGTCATGGAGGGATGCTGCTTACTGGCTTGCTCCTCATGGCTTGTTCAGCCTGCTTTTCTTCTCTCTCTCTCCTTCCCTCTCTTCCTCCCTTCACTTGCTCCCTCCCCTCTCCCTCTTGATTTTTTTTTTTTTTTGAGACAGGGTCTCTCTGTTCTGGAATTCACCCTGTAGACCAGACTGGTCTTAAACTCAGAGACCCACCTGCCTCTGCCTTTCGAGTGCTGGGATTAAAGGCATGCACCACCACCACCTGGCTTTAGCCCGCTTTCTTACAGAATCCAGGACCACTAGGCCAGAGGTGGCACCACCCACAATGGGCTGGGCCCTTCTCCATAAATCACTAATTAAGAAAATGCTGGATCTTATGGAGACATTTTCTCAATCAAGCTTCCTTCCTCTCCAGTGACTCTAACTTGTATCAAGTTGACACAATACTAGCCAGCACAGGGTCATACACTGTATAAAACCTACCGTATTGCAGGGACACGGTATAAATTCTACCGTATTGGAAGACCTGGCTGTGAAAACTTCAGCTCCAGAGCTTAATTTGGCATGAGAGTCCCAGAAAAGAAAACATCCCTGCATTTAGTATTAGTCTGTGACACTAAGCAATGACATAGAAGGTCCACAAGTATGATTCCTCTCAGCTCCTGTGTACAGTTACAGCAGGGTGGGGACAGAACCACAGGAGAAAGAAAGAATGACTATGTTTTTATATCTAATGCCAGCTACATGGAAAGCAGGCAGGAGGAACCATTTATCTGCAGGACTTCAACCCAACCACGGAGAAGAGATAGAAAATAACAAATTTCCAAAAGAAATACTTGGATTTTCCCATATAATGCCCTTTTGATTTTCACCCCTACTGTCCCCATCTATCAGGACGGATGCCATTCAGACCCGTCACCCCTACTGTCCCCATCCATCAGGAAGGATGTCATCCAGACCCGTCACCCCTACTGTCCCCCTTTATCAGGATGGATGTCATCCAGACCCGTCACCCCTACTGTCCTCCTCTATCAGGACGGATGCCATCCAGACCCGTCATCCCTACTGTCCCTATCAGGACGGATGTCATCCAGACCCATCACCCCTACTGTCCCCATCTATCAGGATGGATGTCACCACAGCATGTCTGCAATGATCTTCAATAGCACCCCACACCAACCTGAACCCTAATTCTTTTCCTTCTCACTAGCTCACATTTTCAGTTTTAGTGTCTTCAGTTTCCACATTACTGTGATTTTAATATTTAGATGCTGAAAGCCAGGCATGGAGATACACACCTGCAATACCAGTACTTGGGAAGTTGAAGCAGGAAGATCAGGTGTTGAAGACCAGCTTCAGCCACATAGTAAATTTGAGGCCAGCCTGAGCTACTTGAGACCGTGTCCAAAAAACTCTCAAAGGTTAAAAACAAAAGCAATCCTGGTAAGTTACTTTTTGTTCATTTTGTTTTGTTCGAGATAAGAGCATCATGTAATTCAGAATGGATTTCTGATCCTCTTGTTCCACCTCTCAAATCTTGGGATTATAGTTATATACCACTGTAACTGGCAAGTCATTAGTTTTAAAAATATGTGATATTTATTAGTTGTAAATATTTCAGAGTACATAAAGTATTATTTTCAATAGAAATATTTTATATTAAGATGATATTTCCTCTAAGAAATCAGTTTATACACCTCAATGAACTTCTATACGGTTAGGTAAGATCTAATCTGAAAAAATGTGGGCGCTTTTTCTCAGATGTTTTTTATCTCGTATAATCTTATTTTTTGATAAGGCTACCAGACTGTTAGATCAGGGCACTACTGTAGTCAGAGACTCCTGCAATGCCTTAAACAGGATTCCTCACAGTGACCTGAGATGTGAGATGTAAAGAGGAAACAATTACACGCCTTTATTCCATACCACCAAGTATGGGTTGAATCCCGGGCCTCGGGCACTCTCGCTCTGTGACTCCTGATTTAACCTCTGCCACTCTTCCAGACTGATGTTCCAGAAGCACTGATGTAGATAACTGGGCAGATTTGTTATCTACACTTAGTGTCCGCCTTCACTGGTACGTTTACCTCATAACGCAATACATACTTTTATCTTCTCAGGACCTGTAATTAGGTATGCTTATCGTAATAAGGGAAGAAAATTGGAGAATATGAGGCTATCAGAGATCCAGGACTAGACTTTGTACGAAATGCAGACAGATGGAATGTTGTCCCAGGAAAGTCAGTTGGCAGGCAGAGTCTTGGGCACCATGCTAGGGTTTGAAATCAAGGTTCTTTTGATGGTAGTGCTTTTCAAAATGGGTTTCTTTTTTAGTTTTTAGGTTAGCAGAGGGATGAGTTCCACCACGGCATTTTCACACGCTTTGTGCTTCCTCACCCCCAATTTGTCTCCTTTTACTGCTTTCCTATTACAAATGTTCCATTAATTTTTCCATTTCCCTTTTGGTCTCTTCCTCCCATCTCCATGACACACCTCCTCAAAATACACACACACACATACACACACATACACACACACACACACACACACACACGTCATTCTAAATGAAATTCAGAATGATAAAACATGTAGTATTTGTGCGAGTCTGACTTCTTTGGAAACCTAATGATTTCCAGTTAGATCCAATTTCTTGCAAATGTCGTGACTGCACCTTCCTGTATGGTTGTTTAAAATTCCATCCTGTTTTTGCTACATTTATCTACTGATCTGTAGATGAGTACACATCTGTTTCAGTTTCCTGGCTCTTGTGAGCAGTGAAGCAATGAGCATGGGTGGGAAGGTATCTCTGTGGCATGTCGCTTAGTTGCTGGTGTATATGCTCAAGTGGTATGGCTAAGTCATACAGTAGTTCTATTTTTTTTTTTTGAGGAACCTCCATACTGATTTTTAAAACAGGTTTATTATTATTTTTTCGAAACATGGTTTCTTTCTGTAGTCTTGGCTGTTCTAGAACTTACTACATAAACCAGGCTGGCATCGAACTTAGTGATCCATCAGACTCTGTACTTGCTGGCATTAAAGGTGTATGCCACATACCCAGCATGTTTTTTTTTTTATGTGTATGGGTGTTTTGCATGTCTGTCTATCTGTACGCAGATGTGTACAGTAGCCCGAGGGCAGGTATCATATCTGTCACTGGAGTTACAGACTGTCGTTAGCCAACGTGTGTCTGTTGGAAACTAAACCCAGGTCCTCTGCAAGGGCAACAAGTGCTGATCCCTCTCCAGTCCCTCCATATGGTTTTTTTCAAAGGTAGCTGCCATCAGTCTGTACTCCCGCCATCAGTGGAGAAGGGTTCCTCTTCCTCACCTCTTCTGCAGCATGCTTTCTTAATGGTAAGTTTTACTGGGTGAGATGAAATCTCAAAGCAGTTGTAATTTGCATTTCCTATTAGCTCAAGATGTTGAGTGTTTTCCAACTTATTGGCCATTTGCATGTCTTCTTCAGGGAACTGGCTACTTGGATCATCATTCCATTTATTGAATACATGACTTGTCTAATTTTTGAGGTTCATTACTCTAGGTATTCATCCTGTCTGATGTGTAATGAGCCATTTTGTTATTTCCCCTCATTCAATAGTTTCCTCTTCACTGGTGAATGTTCCTTTGCTGTGTAGAACTTTACACTTCATGTGATTATCAATTATCTCTTATCAGTTCTTGGGATTGTTTCTTGTGGTACTGGGATCCTTTTCGTAAAATCCTGTTTTCCCCCAGTGCCTGGTTTCAGGTCTTACATTGTGATCTTCAATTCATTTTTACCTTAATACAAGACAAATGATGTGTGTGTGGAAATCCAGTTTTCCCAGAATGGTTTATTACAGAGGCAGTATTTTGTCCAATGTGTTTTTGACAACTTTGCCAAGTACATGGATTTATCCTGAGAACTTTGCTTTTCTGTTGGTGATGTCTTTTATTTCACCTGTATCATATTCTTGTTACTATGGCTCCATAGCATGAGATTGGGTTTTAAGATACTGTTAAGGACTGCATTATTGAGTCTTTTATGCTTTTGTAACTGTTGCTTTCTAATTTTGTTAAAAACATCATTGGGATTTTTATGGGAATTGCCCTGAATCTCTAGCTTACATTGAGTAATACAGCTATCTTTTTTGAATAGTATTAATTCTGCCAATCCTTCAACATATCTCTCCATCTTTTAGTGACTTCAGCCCCACCTCCCAATGTGTTTTTTATCACTTGCTTCAGACTTGGAGTTTTTCTTAAAAGCAGACTTCGGGTCTAATGTTGTATTTGTCAAGCCTTGCATCTAAGGATGGTTCCTGGAAATCTATACTAAAGACTACAGATGGGCTGCCATTTTATTCGCTAACTTTGTGCTATTACTCTGTGGTGTTGGGAGGGGAGAAAGCCCAGACGATCATGCGAGTTTGCAGGTTTTACAGCCTTGGAGCATTGGCATTCTAGGTTAGAGGATTTCTGGCTGTGGTGGACTGAGGCTGTCTGGAAGCGCCCTCGTCCTGCTGAGACAGGGATAAGGTGGGCCGAGGGTGCCTACGTAAAGCAGACACCAGGTACAGAACACTAAGACTAGATTTGGAGAGGCACGGAACATAAAACCCCAAAGTAGGCAGAGTTTGACTGGCTAGCAAAGTTTTCTTTTCAATTATGGTTGATTTTAATGTCAACTTGTCACAAATTATAATCAGCTGAGTGAAGAGCCTCACCCAAATACTTGCCCTGATATCCCAGATGTGGGAAGGCCCACTCTGACTGTGGCGTGTCCACCTTTCCCTCTTGTGCTGAGCTGATTCACACTGCTGGTTCCTTCACTATGAGCATTTCCAAGCCTTCATTATGGAGCAGGGACCACAGGCTCTATGGGAAGTTCCTGCGCTTCTGGTGCGAAATCCCAACTCATGAAGTAAGTAAGTGTGGGTCACTGCCCCCACTGTGAGAGAGCTATTTTCTGCTATTCTAGGACAGCTCAAACTACTGAGGTACCCAGTCGCAAAAACTGAGGACTGGGTTCTTAGTGTCTCAGGTGTGATATGGCTATCAGTATTTTAAAGCCCCCTCCTCCCCACTCTAACCCCATTCTGCTCCTCTAGAGAACCTGACTAAAACACTTTTTTTTTTTTTTTTGCCCCTTTTTTGAGACAGGGTCTCATGCAACCCAGGCTGGCCTTGAAATGTCCTTCTGCAGAACAGGACGATCCCTATTGTGATACTAGACTACAAAACAAGCAATTGATCAATCAAACAAACAAGGAAGATAGAAGAAAAAAAACCCAAACAAACGAGAGAGAGAGAGAAAGAAAGAAAGAAAAGAGTATCGAGGCTTTACTTACACTCTAACATCCTCTAAATGTGCAGATCAAGCTTGGACCGCGATAAAGAGAGGCAGCAGAGCAACAAGCAAGAGCCCAGCGCAGCAGGGGAGCGTATTTTCTGAAGAAACACGACAGAGGATTCAGTGAAGAAGTTCTGCAGTCCTTTAAGTGGTTACTCTTACCTGAAAAGTAAATTCCATGAAGGATGTCGATTAAACTTGATCAATCTTGGTCAACCTAGATAATAAATTAAGCTGTAATTTTGAAAGAACTCAAGAAATCTGTAAAAGCAGAGTTATACTGAATATTTTTATTCAGGACAAAAACAAACAACCCCCCCCCAAAAAAAAACAAAAATGAAAGCACCACAAAAACGTCTCTGTCACTTGCAGTATCGGTCAGCTTTCAATTTGGCTCTCCTGTTTTAAGACACAAAGAACAACCAATGTAAAACACACCATATAGAGTCAATTGCTACAAACTAGAAAACAAGCCTGGAAACTCTTCTATTTTCATCACTGTATTCAACATTCACATTAAAATATTTTATTAAAGCTTTACCTTTCAACTTTCTTTAGTCTTATGAAACTTATTTTGTAATATTCAACAGAGGTGGCTTAAGGGCTTTTTCAGGTCACAAGAGACACATTAGTCATTCATGAGCTTAAGCCTGCCCTAAGCTTCTACTGGGCAACAATGGTGTATTTTTTTAAACTGGTTTAAAAGTTGCTAAACAAACAGCTTATTCTATTTTAGAGTTCACAGTCTGACTATATTTTATGTCCTTTTGACTTCTCAAAACCACACACATATTAATTTTTCAACTAAAAAAAAATTCCTCCCATTAACTGAGTTCACCTTTACCAACCAGTTAACAGGAAGTATGCAATTAAGTATTATTTATCAGATAGTGGGAAGGCTTAAGAGTGATTTATAACAGGAGGCTTTATGACTGACAGGAGATTATCAGATTCCTTTTTAGTTCGGCACTCTATTGACAGACAGCTTTAAGACCGCAGCTAACTTCCCTGCCTGTTTTTCCAGGTAGTAACTGTAGGCTGTTACTTTTTAAAACAAAAATAAACTGGAACAAATATTAATGTATTATAAATATCTTGCACACTGCTAAATCTAACGTTACTAAAACAGGTTCAATTTCCCTTACTAGACTTTTAGTCTGGATACAAATTCATACACTGAATCTGTTTTAGAAACCTCTACCATACAAACAGAACACACAGAATCTTGGCATTACTCAAGCAACTTTCTAGCTTTGTTCCAAATTTTTAAGGGAAGATGATGGGAAGCAAACTTATGAGAGGCAAGCATGGTAACTGCTACACCATGGAGACAGCCTGGAGGAAGCATGGTAATCACTGCAATATAAAAATGACCTGGTGGTTCAGTAAATTTATGAAATAGTTTAAGACGAACCTGAAAAGCTAAATGAATTTAAGTATTTACATTCTGGTTATAATTTAGAAATTTGTTTTTAGCACACTTTACCCAGTCTTATGTCTTCTTTAGGTAACATTACCATATAAATTAGAGAAGACAGAAATCCTAAAACAACAGCAATATAAGAACATACTACCTTTGAAACTGTTGAAATTATGCAAATATGCAATTACCTGTCCAGAAGAGTCTCATGCAAAAACCCATCTTTCCGAGCCTTTTTAAGAATTTTACTATCTTCTTTGCTTACTTTGAGTTTGTGGTCTTGGAAGCTCTGAAATTTCTTTCTGTGAAGAAGATCTCTCATTGAAAAAAATCAAACTCAAACTTTTATTGTGTTCCCTTACTAAATTCCAAATACTACTAAAAGTTTCCCCCACTCATTTATTTAACAAACCTAATTATATTTCTTCAGAAATTGACAGTTTTTCTATTACAAAGGTGATTTCTTATGATCCATCAAAGGGGCTGTCACTCGCGTAGCCCTACACAGCTTCCTTCTAAGGATGCTGGCTGGCTGTAGCCCTCATTTCTGGAACATGAATGGCCTCTGGGTGACAGTAACTCTATTAGAGGAAGGAGAGCTGACTAACCCAAGTGTCTTTAGCTTTAAGCACACAGCTCTTCGCTCTGTCCTTGAGTTCCCATTACTGGCTCTTCATTCCTGCAGGTACTTTGTTATCAGGTGTCCTGAGAAACCCTACTGTCAGAGTGGAGTCTGAAAGGAAAATACATACACATAGTTGATTTCACACTGCTTCACATTTCCTTTGTCCTCTTCTGGGATGTCATCTTTCTTCTTGGTTTCTCTTTCAGCACAGGATCTAATCTAGATATTGATGAGAACCCAATAGGTTACACATTTATCTTCCTCTCCTCACCTGCTAGGCAAGAGCACTCTAAGTGATTTCTTACTCAAGCCAAGAAAACAATGAACTTAGCAATAAGATTTAGGAAAAGACAAGCTCAAAATATATGATGTGTTTTAGATTTTGTACACATGTATCACTTACAGAATCAGCTGGAATCAAATATAAGTTTAAACAAGGTTTCATCAGATTCCATTTAGCTACCTGATGATCCTGAAAGTTTATTTATGACATATATATATATTTGCAGATTCAGTCATGTGTTGCAGCATTGTTTGAGGACAAAAGCCAGGAGACAATCTACATTTCAATTTATAAGAGACTGCCTGAATAAAGTAAGAAAGAACTCTAAAACAGAGCACTATGTAGGTGAGGAGGGCAAGACATCTGATACAGATTTACAGGGACAGGGATCTTCAGGATACAACAGTAAACAGGAAAGGTGTTTATATAAGACAGTACAGCAAGCAAGCAACAGTAACACCAAATGAAGCGAACAACGGGGGATAGGCAGGGACAGGGCAGGATGGGAACTAGGTAAGCAGTGCAGGCGGGAGACGCAAGGCTTTGTGTGCTTTCACTTTGAGACTTCCATGCTATGAGAACATATCATCTATCTTAAACATGAAGTATTAGGAAAGCTGTGTAGAAGCTCTGACCATTGGTTTCTCATCTGCATAGCACAAACACGGCATCCCTGGACGTGTGATAGTTAAAGCACCTCTGGGTGAGCACAGAAGACGGGGCTAGGGTGGGAAAGGGACAGTCGGGGCTGTCCAATGTTTCACGGACATCACCACAGCCTGTAGGAGGTACTTACCTTTATCATTTCTTCTTCTCCTGCTGTTTTATTCTTTGCTTCTATATCACCTGCCTCATTACATCTAATAAAGCAGCTATTTGAGGCCAATAAAGCCATTTTCCCCTAAATAAAACAACAACAACAAAAAAATAAAATAAAACAAGCTATGAAGACTTGTAGAAATCGTAAGTCATTTACCTAATTTAAAAATTTCTCCCCAATTATAAAATCAAGAAGAATTTTGAGAAATCCTGCAAAATACAAAAGCATACAGAAGGAAAACCAAAATCACCCCAAATCTTGATATTCAAATATTATCACACTAAACCCTTTATTACCTTTTACTTTCTTCTATCAGGACATTAATTAATTAATTAATTAATAAAATTAATTTCTTTAATTCCTATCTCTGAAGATACAACTCAATACTTAAGTTAAAATTTATCTATAAAGAAAACAAAACTTATGAATAATATACAATAATTTACTGAAATACTGGTATTCCAAGTGCAATTTCTTTTATTCCATAATTAAAAGCATTAAAAGCCTTTGGCCTATAGGGAATTCTGTGTAGAGTGACATACTTTTAGGGATCAAATGTTTATGATTATACTGATTTCTACTAAATAAAACTTCAAAAACTAATTTTCTTGTGGATCTGAATGTGAATTATAGTTAAGTTCTCCTAATTGTAAGGTTTAATTATAATTTTTATTTGGATGATTCTTATAGAAAACTTTGACTATCAGGAAAACAATTCACAAATACAATAATACAGAATAACCCTGAAACATCCAGTTAGAACAGCATGAATCCCACGGATTCTGTTTGGTGTCTTAGTCAAGGCGGCAGGACTCCACTGTATGCAGCCACACCCTCTCCCAGAATCCACTGGGGCCGTGGGTAACTGCTTCTGCAGTTTAACCTGCTGCACATTGGCTTTTAAGTCTTTTGTTTGAATTATAAGAAAGGAAAGTGTCTTCCTAAAAGTAAAGTGAAATAAATGGCCTTGTAGTTTGTCATCCTGACCTATGATATATTGGTCTTCCCAACTAGTATAATTTTTATTGTATTTTTAAGTTAGTTATTGTGCATGTATGATGTATGCATGCATGTACACGTGTCATAGTGTGTGCGCAGAGGTCAGCTCTGTTGAGTTAGTGCTCTCCTTCCACCTTCATGTGGGTTCTGATAATCAGGCTGTCAGTGCTGAGCAACCACACAGGCCATAAATTGGAAACAACCTAGAGGCTCCCCAAAAGAAGAATATGGTACATTTACACAATAGAATATTGTTCAGACATTAAAAAAATGAAATCATGAAATTTACAGGTAAATGGATGAAACTAGAAAAAAAACCATCCTGAGTGAGGTAACTCAAATCTAGAAAGAAAAATCCACTTACGTGTTGATGTTAGCTATTAATTCACTGATAAGCAAGCTATGATCCATGTAACCACAGAGGTGAGGTATAGAACAAGGGAGTGGGAGGAGAGACACATCTCCCTAGGGAGGATAGTTATAGATGGATGAGGGGTAAGAGCTTGGATTGGGGAACGGGGGGAATACAGGAAGGAATTTCTAAAATTAAGGGCCATTTGCAGGGTCACACGAAAGCCTAATACAGTAGAAACTTCCAAAATACAGACATATGAAGGTGATCTAAACGAAATCACCAAAGAACAGGGGAGATAGAACCCCAAATGGATATCTTTCATTATCAAAGACAGCTTCCAGGACAGGGAATGGGTGACATTTGCATTGGTATAGATCTTGGTTTACTGATATAAATTTAAGGTCAATCTTGTTATATGTATATTTCTGTTCTTGATTAAGGTGTTGTGACTGTGTAGTTCATTTAAAAATGTAATGTATAATAAAAAAATATAGTCATCTACAATACTCAAGCTTGTAGTCACGTTAGCTAGATTTGCTAGATGTATAGAGATATATTTCAGTCTGACAGGTGCTCTTCAAATCTTTCAGAGACCTTCAGAATACGGCATTTAAAATGTTTAAGAACTTATGAATTTTCATGACAGTGAGACACGTCTGCTCCTGGCAGCACCAGTTACTTCAAGAGGAAGATGGGTATCGAAGAGGCTCCTTATGGAGTTGGTTAGCCATTTGAGCAGGAAACTGTTCTTGCCTGGACTGCTTAACTGAATATGCAGGACCCACAGAGAAATGACTGTTGAACTTGCGTAAAGGTGAGATAATCCTTCAGGGTTCCTGCTTCATGAAAGAGTCTGCTAGCCATTCTGCAGGATACAGAAGAAAGTGACTAAACTGTCTTTGAAATTTCTGCTTCATGGAAAAGTATGCTAGATACTATGGGCCTGTGGGCTGAAGATGGATGCCCCAACAGACAGAAGAACTTTGGGTGACTGTCCAGGCAGCAAGATGTCTTTGTCATTTCTAGAGTTTTGGGAGTTGCTTACAATGCACTTCCTGTTAACTGGAGTCTTTGATGAAGTTAAAGAATTTATAGTTATAGTTTTCCTTAGTTATGATAAAAGATAAAGTACATATAAATATTGTAACTGTAATTCTTGCTTGACACCTGTTTTGTTATATGTAGTTTAGCTATGCTAAAGTTAAAGCCTTCCTTTTTGTTTAAACAGAAAAGGGGAAATGGTGTAGGAGTCTTTCTGTCTGTGTGTTGCTTTTCTTGATTAATGAATAAAGAAACTTGCACTGGCCTGTTGATAGGGCAGGATTTAGGTAGGCGGGGAAGACAGAACTGAATTCTGGGAGAAAGAAGGCAGAGTCAGAGGAAGCTGCCATGGAACTGCCACCAGAGTAAGACATGTCAAATCTTTGCCCAGTATGCCACTGCCATGTGGCGATATACAGATTAATAGAAATGGGTTAAATGAAGATGTAAGAGTTAGCCAATAATAAGCTAGAGCTAATGGGCCAAGCAGTGATTTAATGAATAGAGTTTCTGTGTGGTTATTTCGGGGCTAAGTTAGCTGGGTGGCCAGGACTAACAATAGGGCCCTCCTTGCAACATACATCTCATCAAGTTGTTGGTCAATAGGGTCCTATGGGAACTTCACAACTTAGGCTAGCAGCAGGGTTACTGATTGCTCTTGAAAAAAATGATAGCAAGACCTTTATTACTGAAGGCAATACCCACATAACTCACTAAACTCAAAGGAGTAGAGCTGGCACCTACTTAGAGCCTTATCTCCTGTTCATGATATTGGAAGGTGGCCTGGAAGCTATCAAAGGAAAAAGGTAAACACCAACCCAGCTACAAACCCTTTTATCTACAAAGGTGATCTGCCTGCAGGATACACTGGCGCAACAGTGGCTCAAAGCTTGTGGGAGTAGTAAGCAACCAGTATCGAATTTGATTTAAGGCCACGCCATGAGATGGAGCCTATACCCACTGCTGTTAGGGTGGCCAAGGACAGTAGACAGGTCAGGCTGCTGCAATCTCAACTCAGGTCCTCATACTGATGCCACAGGTGTTCCTGCCAAGGAGCCACCTCTGCAGTCCTGACGCACACTGTGCTGAACTGAACAGCTACTGAACTTCTCTGGCCTGTTCTAGTTTTCTTTACAGTTTTTGATATATTACAACTGATATTTGCTAAAATTGACATATCTTAAACTTGTTTATACTGATTTTCTTCCATAAATTGAAACTTAGAGCTCTACAAAGTGTATATATTTCCGTGAATGATACCATGATTTACTATTTCATACACAAACAGTCACAATGCATTAGCTTCCTCTATTACCTCTTGTCAGTCTCTAAAGGTTCTGAACCAACTGATGTGAAACCAATGCTCCTGGAACACCCTGGGATTTACTTCTTTTCAGACAACAAGGCCTCAACGGTGGCCAGAAACCAGAATGGGGAAGGGACTCCTTTTCAATGCACTGTTTTGATATCATTATAGGGTTATAACTTCATTCTAATTTTTTTCAGTTTAATGTATAATACTATTACAATCTACCCTTTACTGTTTTATTGTTAGTTTTAGAGAGTGTGCTTTTCCTAATAATGATGTTTTCTTAAACTGGCAGAGCGCCCGTCTAAGTAATAGTACTTACATCTTGAAACACTGGTTCCCATTGTTCTCTTGGCCCAATTGCATCCGACCGCCCAACAACAAGTCCATCTGAATTTATACCAAGATATTTTCCATAGCCAGATTTCAGGGCAATCCTTTGGTTTAATAAAAAAGGTAAATGTTAAAAACTAAGAGTAAAAATTTAAATATAAAATAAAGAGTATATTATGTTTACTTATATAGCTGTGTGTATATATAGGCATATACATTAATAAATCCAGACACGTTTATAGTGAATACTATATTCTCTATAATCTTATATTTTATTTTCTAATATAATTATTATACAATATCTTATATTATACAGAAATTGTTTTCCAAATGCATTATTGTCCTATCACAGATGTATAAACCATTATTGGAGAGGGAGGTGGGGAGGGGGAGGGGAAAGGGAGGCTGGGAAGAGGTGGAAATTTTAATAAATTTTAATAAATAATAATAAAATAAATAAATAAAATAAAATATAAATAAAAAAAATACTGTAAGAGCCAGAGGGAAAAACAATAAAATAAAAGTCATCTTTTATGCTATTACAATCTTACTGATTTCCCTGATATATATATATATAAAACTGCTGATCTGTCTTTAGAAGAAGAAGGCACTGGATTGAAGGTTATTAACTTATGATTGTAAAACAGGGTTTTTAATAGCCCAGGCTGACTCCCACCAGATGTTAAAACTTTACAGTTTGTTAACCTGCTTTCATGTAAAGGCTACAACAACTTCGATTCTCACCTCAATTTAAGAGAGATTTTACTGAGGAGATGGGTTGTGTTCTAAGCCAGCAGCTCTTAACCTTCCCAATGTTGTGACCCTTTAACACAGTTCCCCATGTTGTGGTGACCCCAACCATGAGATTATTTTGTTGTTACTTTATAACTGTAATTTGGCTACTATTATGAGTAGTAATGTAAATAATATGATATTCAGGATATCTGATGTGACCCCTGTAAAAGGGTCGTTCGACCCCCAAGTTGAGAACCACTGCTCTAACCTATGCATCAGGCTAAAAAATTATTTTAATCATGTACTTTTGAAAAAGTATATCCTCGGTACGGTGGCATGTGCTTTTGCACACGAGGCAAAGACAGGTGAATTTGTGAGTTAGAGGCCACTTTGGACTACATGACAAGTTCCAGGCCGGCCAGAGGTACATAGTAAAATCCTGTGTGAAAGGGGGGGGGAGGGAGAGCGAGAGGGGGGGAGGGAGGGAAGGGGAGAGAGAGAGAGAGGAAGAGAGAGAGAGAGAGAGAGAGAGAGAGAGAGAGAGAGAGGGGAAGAAAAGAAAAACGAAGTATGTTTTCATTGCTAAATTGATCTGGGTGTCTTTGAGGGTAGGCCCAGAGCGTTTTAACTGAGGAGGCAATACATACCATGATGTGAGTGGTACCATCTTACGAACTGGGTTTCCAGAATATATGAAGTGAGGAAAAGAAGAAAGCCAGCTGTGGGCCGGCTCACCCCTCACTATGCTGATGCCTGGTAATATGGAGTCCTGGACACATGCGCACTCTTCTGCCTCCCTGGACTCTGCGACACATTCTCTGTCAAGATCATCCTTATTCTCTTAAACCAAAAATCTGACTATTTTTTCTTAAGTTGTTTCTTGTCAGGTCTCAGTAAGAAAGTAAGAAAAATAACCAATATACTAAAAATGCTGAAATATACAACATGGGAAAATATTTGCACAATAGTTACTAGGGAGAAAGGTATCAGCATGTCTGTATTTTCCTCTTCCACTTCAAAACTAGCTGGTGTGTGTCCCCTTTCTACTGATGCCGTCAGCACTGTGAATGCTATGCAGACACACCACCAGCTAACCACTCACTGCCTGGGGAGATTGTTGCAAATACCTTCCTCACTTTCTACTGCTCATAAGATTTCTGTTTGTAACCATAAGGAAATTTACTGACTGACATTTTGTTCCTTTGCTTTGCTCCTAAGTCTGAAAAGCGAAATATAAAACTTTTCGCTGAAAAGCGAAATATAAAACTCATTATTTAAATGTGATTTTAGAAAACTTTGATTTCTGATTTTTATTTGCCAATCAGTTTCTGGGGAAGTTGAACTGACTTCATATGCAGTTGGGGGTTGCTGTAAATCCATACAAAATAGAATCACTGGCAGATCTTCTTTCATGTTTATTTTCTTCTCATGCTCTTTCTGATCTATTTAACTTGGTCTGTTGACATTATTAATTTTCATTTTTAGGCTCTTATTATACATGTAGACATTCCCCCAAACTCCCAAAACCAGAAATCAAAAACAATTCTGATTATGAATGTTTTCTGAATACCATAAAAATCTCCTTTTCAAGCCAGGTGTGGTGGCACAAATCTTTAATCCCAGCACTTGGGAGGCAGGGGCAGGCAGATCTCTGAGAATTTGAGGCCAGCCTGGTCTACAGAGTGAGTTTCAGGACAGCCAGGACTCCATAGAGAGACACTGTCTTTAAAAAAAAAAAAAAAAAGAAAGAAAAGAAAAGAAAAAAAAAGAGGGAAATAATCTCCTTTTCAAAATACTGTCTTTCAATTAAAATTATGCTGACTGTATTCACCAATAGTGTAGCTTTTTTTTTTTACACAAAAGTGAAATTATTCTTATTCGAAACAGGGTTCCGTGTACATTATACAGCCAAAGTGGCCTTGAACTCCTGGTCCTCCCGACTCTGTCTTTTATGTGCTGGTAGGTAAGGCATGCACCACAATGCATGGTTAAGTGAAGTTTAATTTTAAGGCTTTTAAATACAGTTCAACTAAAGCTTACCTGGAATCAGACAGTTTGACAGCAGTAAATTGCTCTGGAGGACTGGGGCCCTCATCAACTACAGAGAAACAAAAATGGTAAATATATAACTTTTGCTATAAATACATACATAAAGATATTTTATGCTTTAAAAACTATTTTTCCCCCTGAAATTACAGGTAAGGATATTAAGATATTTGCACACACTGTAATAATGCACCATCTATACTATCAAGGCATTGTTACAGGGTGAATTTATGTACTTTGAAGGACAGTTTAGCATGACTTATTTAGCCACTGCCACTATAATCTTACGTTTTAAAACACAGCACATAAATAACAGTTTGTGAATTACTAACTGCTTTTATTTACCCAAGGAACATCCATTCTGGCCAAGGCATACGCCCTTTTATTTTCCAATTACTGCATTCCTTGTGGTGCTTCCTTGTAGGCTAAGGATAAGGAGAAAACATCTAAATGTCTGTTAACCATACCAGTTCTAAAGGAAGAAAAAAACTTCACACTTCTGATTCATTACTTTTTTTATCTTTTCTTTCCACTTACAATTGTAGGTTTTATGTGATTTTAATGCTATTCTTTTTTCCATAGGGTTTCTGATAGTAGTCAGAAAGTTTCCAACACTTATTCTGGAAAAAGACGCTTCATAATAACAGGAATGAGAAAGGGAGAATGGGAGGAGCTCAGGTTGATGGCAGTCTTGCTTTGAAACATGCCTCAGGACTTAAGTACAAACTTTGTAAGGTTCTACTTGGCAGGGCTTCCCCATCACAAACCTTCTCTATGCGGCGCTCCCAGTGTAAAAAGGCCATTGTCCAGTGCATGGATATATGCTCCTTTATCCATCTCAATGGCAATGGTTCCTGAAATCTCCCCAAAGTTGGATACAGTCCACCAGATTCCTACAAAATAAAAAAAAAATCAAGGTTTAACCATTTTATTTACTTTAGGGTTGCTCAAGGTTTTCTGCTGCTTATACTATAACATTTCTAAAAGCCTATATTTGATGATCATAAGAATCATCACAGAGAAACCTGGTTTATCCTTCATTGACTTTCTCCTAATTGTACCACCGTGCATAGCTCCTGTTCAATCCTTAGAACTTTACAGTGACATAATCCTGAACCTTACTCATATTTTACCAGTTTTGCTTGAACTTGTTTGTTTATATGGGTGGATTCCTGTGACAAACCTCACAGCCCAGGTCTCTAACACACGCAGAGACACAGAAAGACAAGAATATGAGTGGTGGTGGCGCACGCCTTTAATCCCAGCACTAGGGAGGCAGAGGCAGGTGGATCTCTGTGAGTTCGAGGCCAGGCTGGTCTACAAGAGGTAGTTCCAGAACAGGCTCCAAAGCTACAGAGAAACCCTGTCTCAAAAAACAAAAAAAACAAAACAACAAAAAACCAACAAATAAAAAACACCCACATGGAAAACCAAAAATCAAATCAAATCAAACTAAAAGGGTAAGAGAATAGTTTCTCTGATTGCATACCCCATCCCACATGCTTTCCACTGGCAATGTTTAGGTGAGTCCCACAGAGAGAGGCGCTCTTCAGCCAACAGCCTCTCCTTTTCCTCCAAGGATGCCTGATAACAATACCAAATGCTACACACATGAATGCTTCCCAACACCTATAGTAAACCTTCAGGCATGCTAGGTAACTATCCTACCACTGAGCCACACCTAAGCCTACAGTCAATAGTAAATAAATAATTTTAACACAGAACCTCAATAGTGAATTTCAGAAAAATAATAAATTTGACAGACTTCAAAATTTTCAGTCTCTGCCAAAGTAGAGAAAATGATACATTACGTTTAGAGATCTCCACTGCCTAAAAAGCTATCCACGGCATGTTTGTGTTTTCTTCCTGGGAATTCAAGTTGCCTCCATTCAAAGGCCAGAGGTATGTTTACATGTTTCTTGGTTGCAGGATCACCCCAGAGCCAAGCTGTCAAAAAGCAACAGGTGCTATAAACATGGCTCACTGATGCCACCCATCACTAAGTCAATCACAGTTTTGTTTTGGTGGTGGAGACCCAACTTATATAATTCACCACTTATAGCTTAACACTGCCTAGTGCTATAGACACTGAGAGAGACTCTTGATAGAGGCGGCAGTTATGGGGTTAGGGAGATATCTGGTGCTAGGGAAATTCCCAGGAATCCACAAGGATGATCCCAACTAAGACTCCTAGCAATAGTGGAGAGGGTGCCTGCACTGCCCTCCCCTGTAATCAGATTGGTGATCACTCTAATTGTCACCAGAGAACCTTCATGTAAGAACTGATGGGAGCAGATGCAGAGACCCACAGCTAAGCACTGAGATGAGCTCCTGGAGTCCAGCTGAAGAGCGGGAGAAGAGATCATAGGAGCAAAGGGGTCAGGTTCATGATGGCAAACCCAGAGACAACTGATCTGAGCTAGTGGGAGTTCATGAACTCTGGACTGATAGCTGGGGAACCTGCATCAGACCCAACTAGGTCCTCTATATGTGAGTGACAGTTCTGTGGCAGGGGCAGTCTATGGGCCCACTGGCAGTGGAACCAGGATTTATCCCTAGTGTACGAACTGGTTTTTTGGAGTTCAATCCCTATGGAGGAATACCTTGCTTAGCCTTGATGCAGCAGGGAGTGACTTGGTCCTTCCTCAATTTGATATGCCACACTTTGTTGACTCCCCATGGAAGGTTTTACCCTTTCAGGAGTGGATGGGGCGTTGCGTTGTGGGAAGGTGTTGGGGGAGCGGGAGGAGAGGAAACTGTGGTTGGTATGTAAAATGAAAAAAAAATCCTTTTAAATAAAAAAAAATAATAATAAAAGAACAACAGTGACATCTAGTGAACTTTCTAAGAGAAGGCTCTGACAAGCACTATCAGTGCTAATGAGGACAACACTTCAAAGGGGACAGAAACCACAAAAGACGCCAACTTTTCACACAGTAAGTAACTAAAGTGGCTTACCCACAATATCAAGTTGGGTCTCCTCATCTTCTTCTCGTTTTCTCTTCTTATCTTTGCTCTTCTTTTTTTTGCTAAGAGAAAGAAAGGATATACATATACATGAGTTTGGGCATACTGATATATGTGTTAAAAATTAGAAGATAAACACTCAGAAGAGCCGTTCAAGCTATATACTGATTTATATAGAAATGATTTTTTAAAATTTACATATATGTGATATTTAAAATACTGAGAAGTTGACTTAGCCCTGTGTTCATGTTGCTACATTTAAAACAATAATATACAGCCCCGTTACTCTGCAGGGGAAAAAAAAAATCAGCCAACCGACTAACAAACAAACCCCCCCTTAATCTGTCAATCACTTTCCCCACTTAGGAGGATAATACTGAAGCCCAGTTCCTAGAGTTACCATGATGGACTATGAGTGACTACTACCCTTCTTCTGTTGCTGAAGAATGAAAAGATGGCGCAGCCTCTGTGCTGGTCACCTTACCACAAGCTAGAGTCATCTGGGCAGAGGCAACCTCAACTGAACAAATGCCCCCATCAGAGTTGGCCTGTGGGCACACGTGTAGGGGCATTTCCTTGATTAATGGTTGACACAGACGGGCCTAACGTACTGTGGGCAGGTGGTCCAGAGCTGTGTAAGAAAGCAGGCTGAACGAGCCAGAAAGAAGCATTTCTCCACGGCCTCTACACTGGTTCCTGCCCTCTCTTTCCTGGATGATGGATTACAAGACGGAAGCTGGTAAGAACCCTCAGCACCACCATGCCTTCGGTTGGGTGTCTTTTGGTCTATCACAGCGGTAGAACCCCTAACTAAGACAACCTCTTTGGAAAACATTTCTCAAAAAGCTAAATACTGAGTTACCATAAATAATGCATAGGTGACTCCACTCTCATATACCTCCAAGAAAAATGAAAAAACTATGTCCAGGAAAAAAAAAAGGAACACTGATAGCATTATCACTAGTGTAAAATGTTCATCAATGAAGAAAGAACAAAACGTGCTAACACCATACAAAAGAAAATCATTCGGCCCCAAAACAGAATAAATACACTGCACTACAATATGCATGCTCCTCAAAACTAAGGGAAATCATATGCCCTCAACCCTTGCACGTGGGAAGTTGAGGTGGTGGATCTCTGAGTTTCAGGCTAGTCAGAGCTATACAGTGAGACCCTGTCTCAACAACCTAAGTAAAAAAAGGACAAACACAAAAAGTTATAGATTGTATAATCCATTGACATAAATATTCATAGCAAGCAAATTCTTATTGACTGAAAGCAGTTGACAGAAACTGGCGGAGGTGGGGGCAGCAGGTATGATTATTTAATAACTAAGGGGTTTACTTTGGAGTGGTAAAAATACTCGTCAACTAAATAGCGGTGAACTTGTAAATATATTAAATTCCACTAGCTGAATACTTTAAAAGGAGTTTATGGTATATTAACTACAGCTCCATAAACGAAAAACACAAAGGGAGATATTAGGGAAAAAAGAGATTATCCAAAGTATTTAAATAAATTTTGAGCCAGGCGGTGGTGGCACACACCTTTAATCCCAGCACCCTGGAGGTGGAGGCAGGCAGATACCTGAGTTCGAGGCCAGCCTGCTCTACAGATAGAGAGTTCCAGGACAGTCAGGGCAACACAGGGAAGCCCTGTCTCAAAAACAGCACGAGTTCTGGAACATGGAAATGCTATACTGGCTTTAATAACGTTTGCCTTAACTTCTTTGCATGTTAACTACAAAGCTTCAGAAGCTGATTCTGTTCTCCCTGTAGCTACCTAAGCAGCTGCAGGTTCAGCCAGGACAATTCTTCACACGCAGTTCTCAAAGGCACGACACTCCCTAGCAAGTGCTGCCACCGAAACTGCTTTATCAGGGATCCCGCAAAGAAGTGCTCGACTTTGGCCAAATCTTCCACAAGAGGACGGAGATACGAATGGGCAGGTATCTTTCCCTAAAGAGCGAATTATAAATCACCACTAGCACGCCCTCACTTGGCTGTTAAGGTCTGCGCTGGCTGTCTCTTCCAATTCTCCTAATTCTTTCATCGTCTCGAGACACAAGAAACATAAAAAAAAAAAAATCTGAGTTTTCAATAAACGAGCAAACGAATCGTCAATCTTCGCCACTGGTGCGGTTCACAGTGAGCCCCACACCCCCATCCAAGTCCTAATCAAGCCTTGGGGGTTCCAAGCATGGAGCTCATGGGCCACAGGTCTCCCCGTTTCAGGGGCTCCGCTGTCACGCACCCACATCTCACGCAGCTCTGCCTCTAGATGCCCTGGCCGGGGTGGTCCCGGGGTTGTGCCCGGAGTCGAGACTCCCGGCCGAGCTCAGCCTCACCTCTTGGCTTTAGTTCCCTTGAGCACTAGTTTGGTGGACTTCACATAGGAGTATTCGGCCATGGTTCGGCGCTCAGAGCCAGCAGCCCCGGGCAGAGTTCCTTTGGGCTGGGAGGAGAAAGTGGAGAAGGACGGAGAGCAGCAGCAAAGGCGGGAGATGAGTGCGTCTCTCAGGAATCCCCCGCCTTCTTCAACTCAACGCTCTGAAAAATCTACTTCCTGTTTACTGTGCTCGCGCTACGGCGGCCGCGGAGGGTCCAACCGCGCCGGCGTGCTCCAGTTCTCGCGGCGCAGTCCCGGATGTTGGGGGCTTTTCCCAGCAGGCGAAGCGGACAGAGGCGGCCCCCTGGTGGACAAGAAGGTCTCTAACACCTTCCTGCTGCCCAGGCTGCAAAGAACGGGCTGGGATTTGATGAGACAAATGTTGAAATTATCAGAATTGCTCGCCCACACTTTCTGCAGCGGATAAAGCCCAGTGCTCCAGGCAGCTAGCCAGGGTTGGGCCTGCGAAGAGGAATCTGAGTGCTGTGGAGGATTGAGTCAGAGCCTTGACCTGGGGCAACTTGGTCAAATAACTTCTGTTCCCTGGTTGTTAATTGTATTGTTTCACCAGGGAGTCTTGAGTAATGCACAGAAAACAATAGAGAAAGACAGAAGGTATGGTTGTTAAATGTTGGCGCCTCCTACAAGCGCTGAAGAGACTTTGGTCTTAGCATGGAAGACTAACGTAGTCCACCTTTCTGTGTAGGTTCTCAATCCAGCAGGGTACGAATTTCTTTCCCTTCCTCCTATCTTTCCCACGATATCATAACTCCCATTCCAAACCACCCACTGCGTGCACAACTTCTGTATGACCTTGTTTTTTGTCTTAAACCAAACAAAGCAGCCGTCTTTTAGTCCTGAGAAAGAAACATGGATGTCGTCATAATCAAAATGGAATGACTTTGTTAATGCTTATAAACATAAAACTGTACATTTAGAAAGGAATTAGGTACAAGACTTTGGACTCACCAAGATAGGATAGATATGGAGTGTTTTCTGTGAATTTGTCAAATGCATATGGACTAGACATTGTTGATGTATTTATTGCCTATATATTGTATATAGTTATTGTACTTATTGTATATATTTTTGTTAGTTATAGCCTTTTTTAGGCAAAAAGGGGAAAAATATTGGCATTTCACTTGTATTTTAATAAATAAAGCTTGCCTGAGGATTAGAAAAGTAAAACAGCCACACTGGCCAGACTTACAGACCAGGCAGCAATGACACACCTTTAATCCCAGTAGCCACACTAGTTTGCCATAGGAGCCAGGCAGTAGTGGTGCACACCCTTAATCCCAGAACTAGAGAGGATTATAAAACGGGAGGAGACAGTCTCATTCTGAGATTCCTGGAGGCAGGATTGCCGTTATCGGACTGAGGTAGAGGTAAGAGCCAATGACTGGCTGTTTTGCTTTTCTGACCTTCAGGTTGAACCCTAATTTCTGTCTCTGAGTTTTTATTAATCGTGCATCATTTTTGTTTAAGTTGTGTTAAATTCTTTTTTAATAGAAACTAAGAACCCTGAAAGGATACATCAATTTCCCCTGTAACTTATGGTACTCACTGCGTTGAACCCCCAAATTTCTGGTAACACCAGTGTTCTATCACAGAGCTAAAACCCTGTCTTCTGTCCTGTTTGTTTTTGTTTGTAAAAATTGCAGCTCCTTGAGAGGCTCTGTGTCTCTGCCTCCTTGAGAACACCCATAGTTTTGCTACACTATGCTCTGTAAATGCCTTGAAATGTCTTAATTTCCCCCCCCCCATTGACATTATCTTATCTATTTATGCAAGGCTGCTCATTTATTTGGACAGACACAAGGAGGGAATCCTATTATTAGTTAATAACTATTGTGATCTTTTAATTTTTTAAAAATATTTTTTATGTGTATAGGTGTTTTGCCTACATGTATGTCTATTCATCATGTGCCTGGTTCTTGGAGAAGCTGGAAGAAGCCATTGGACCTCCTAGATTAGGAGTTGAAGGTTTTTGCTGCCATGTGGGTGCTTTGGTCTTCTAGAATATGCCAATATTTTCAACTATTGATCGATTTCTCCAGCCTATATAGGTGATTCCCCCTGCATATTTAATCTTTGACTTTACACTGAGTTATTGGGACAATTTTAATACCCCTGTTTAGCTTTTTTTCTGCCTAGAACACTCTCTTTTATCTTTATATTTTTCCCCAGTTTCTGTTCCAAGTTTCTAAGGTTGTTGGTGACAAGAATCTAACTGTAGTTCTTAACATTTGTTGATCATAAGAATCATGGTAGACACTTGTTTAAGATAAAGTCCCAGGCTCCTCACCTAGAAAGTATTGGCATCGTTGAAGGCACCAGGGCATATTAAGTTTTGATAAGAATCACAAGATGCTTACATTCAAGCAAATACTCATGGAGAACTTTGTTTTTATTACTGAAAACTACAGGTAACTTTCCTCTTTCTTGTTTAGAATAAAAATGTATTTGTAAAGGAGAGTTGCATGACCAGCTACAGCATCTATACATGTCCTGTAACACGTTGTATATTTCTGTCATGTTTACACTTGGACAAAGTGTCAGAGTGCTATCAGGACAACCATCTGTTAAATAAAAGGAGGAGTGGTCAGGGGTGGGGGAACACAGAGTGTGAACGCTTCTGTTACAAGTTTAAAAGACAAACCATACAGAGTGAGGTTGCAAGGAGCACTTGGAAGGTGCCAAAGCTTTCCAAGCATCTCTACCACTGTAGCACGAATAATAAAAACCAAAGACAGACTTCAGGGTTCAAGTTGAAGATCAGAAAAGCAAAGTGGCCAACCAGCGCTTACTTCTACTTCAAACTGAAATGGGCAATTCTGCCTCCACGAATTCTCAGACAGACTGAGAATGACACCTGCCTTCTCTGGTTTTATATTCCTCTTTAGTGCTGGGACTAAAGGTGTGCACTATCACTGCCCGATTTCTATGGCTAACTAGTGTGGCTGCTGGGATTAATGGTGTGTACCACCACTGCCTGCTTGTATGACTTACTAGTGTGGCTGCTTTGTACTCTGACCTCCAGGCAAGCTTTATTTATTAAAACACAAAAAAATATACCTATATACTTCAGTTAGCAGGCGACTTCCTCTAGAACAGTGTCTCTCAAGACTCGCTTGTTGAGATGAGGCTGTGCCCTGATCTAAGTTGACCTGAGTTGCATAAAACATCCATTTGCAGGCTATGCTTTTTCCACTTTACGAGCAACATTGGGCCCCATTTTTGTGTGCAAATGCAGAAGCAGAATGACTTTGCACCTCATTACACAAGTAGACACTACTACCACCTGCCCAGTGCTATCCATGATGCACAAACTAAAAGATAACTTAGTCCTGTAGTAAAGGTACTACCCCATGATGTTATCTAAGTGGCTTGAGACTGTATGAATGCATGGGCACATTGAAACCACACTGGGACAGCCAGGCTTGATAATTTATGGGCCGCAATAGGATAAAGAAGGGTGCAGGATATCTACATTGATCTCACAAAGAGGATACCATCCAACATTGATGACAATAGCTGCTTTAACCCCAAAATTCAGCTCAACATGGCAGCCCTGCTGCTTGGTGCCAGGCCTCCAAGCCACTCTCACTGCGGTGACTCATGGCATCTCTATCAACTGCTTGCTTCTGTCTAGAGTAAGACTTATTTGACCTCCCTGAATTCTTTTGTGGCGTTTTTAGTAGATATTCTGCACTGCGCACACACACACACACACACACACACACACACATGTCCCTGAGACTTTATGTGTAACCTGAGACAATATCAGTTATTAAGACTAAAATAAAAAAAATCTGTGTTTCAGGACCTCTGCACCAGGTTCTCTGCGTTTATATTCTGATTTCCAGTTTAGTGTTTTTAGGGGGTTCCTGGGTGTGTCAACAAGTGGACCTCTGAATCTTGGGCCTTCTCTTTGGCCTTTCCTCTTCTGTTTGTTTGTCTTAGCCAAGCTTGATGTGATAGTTTTTGTTTTCTCTTATTGTATTTTATTTTGTTATACTTAAAAAGAAGAACTTGTCCTTGCTGTCAGCTCTCAAGGAAGATTGGGATTACTTTGCAAATTGCTGGCAATGAAACTGTTCCAGCTTGTGAGTTTGTTATTTGATAAATTCTGACGTTATGGAAAGGCGTCCATGTTAATCCATGTTCCTGACACACCCTATGCAGAAGACTGCATAAATTAATCTTCAAGGTCAGTTGCTACCAAGGTTACTATAGCACTTGTGTATATACTATATATAGTATATATTCTGACTTCCAAGCTTGGCTTAGCCAAGCTTGGCTAAAACAAACAAACAGAAGAGGAAAGGCCAAAGAGAAGGCCCAAGATTCAGAGGTCCACGAGTTGACACACCCAGGAACCCCCTAAAAACACTAAACTGGAAGTCAGAATATAAACTTGTATATATACTATATATAGTAGTATTTATTCAGTTATATTTGATATCCTTTCATAATGGTTTCCTGTTCATTACTCGTGTCTTCCCAGTGAAACAATACAACAGACAACTGTGGAATTGTAATACCTGGTGAAGTTGCTCAAGACCATGGTTTGTGCAGCCAGCTTTCCTTTCGGCAGCCAGGCATGGGCCAGCCGTGCCTGCCCTAGGGAGTGCATGCCACACAAGCATGGGCAAGCGCCTCTCGAGGACTGAGTCATCTCGTGCTGTGACTACCAAAACTCTCACTTAGTGGAGACATTGCAGGAGGGCAAGTCAGCCCTATGGAAATGTCATAACTAATTTTTTAAAATCTCCCCTTTCTTGTATGTGAGTGTGTGTATGTGTGAGTGTAGGGGTGTGTGTCTATGTGTATGTGTGAGTGAGCGTATGTGAGTATGTGCATGTGAGTGTCTTTCTGTGTGTATGTGAGTGTATGTGTGTGAGTGTGAGGGTAGGTGTGTGTGAGTCTGTACGTGTGTCTTTGTGTATGTGTGAGTATATGCATGTGAGTGTCTTTCTGTGTGTATGTGAGTGTATGTGTGTGAGTGTGAGGGTAGGTGTGTGTGAGTCTGTACATGCGTCTTTGTGTGTATGTGTGAGTATATGCATGTGAGTGTCTTTCTGTGTGTATGTGAGTGTATGTGTGTATGAGTATGTGTATGTGAGTGTATGTTTGTCTCTCTCTGTGTGAGTATATATGTGTGAGTCTTTCTGTGTGTATGTG